GGAATTTCAAACACCAAAACCCAGTTTTCCCAGAAGTTAACACCCAGGGCAGAGACTTTATGCTTTTCAAATTATTTTCTTAAGTATGTGAGTTTCCACTAGAACTTTGCCTAACTGTGCTAATTCTAAGTTAAGCCAAAATACTGAAGAGTTCCCTGAAAAGTTCATATCATGATACAGGAAAAAAATTGCTTTGGTGGACAAACATACACACAGAGAGATCTAAACTGCAATTCTGAGATGTCCTAAAATGACTTGTTATTTTTTTTTCCTAAAGAGGTATTTTATAATTAATTTTATAATGTTAACGTATGTTACTACTTGATATACCAGACATATGGACTTTAAAGACCAAGGATGAATCGGACCCAAAAATCATGATATATTCCAATTGATCACATTTAGAAGAGACTTAAAATGAATGCCATTTATATAAAGGGAAAACTGGAGATTTCAATGGTACGCGAAGAATTAGAAGCCAGGGATTCTAATCCAATTGGCCCTGTTATGAATGGAATAATCAAGATAAATTCCCTTACCGTCCAAATAACACCAAGCCCAAACTGTGGTTGTGCAGGGTGGCCAGATAAGTCCTGCCATCTGTGAGCTGCAGCACTACAGGATGAGCATCAGACTGGGTTTTCACCTGTATCTGCTGTGTCATTAATATACCACAGAGAACATTAATTTGGGGGGAAAGCAGATATTTTTAACAAAAGGCTGTGACAAGCAGAAGGATGAAATGTTTAATGCAGTAGAAAGTGAAAAAGCTTTGCTTCCGTTTTACTGCCAATGCCAAAAAAAATATCTGCTTTTCCCCCCAAATTAATGTTCTCTGTGGTATATTAATGACACAGATACAGGTGAAAACCCAGTCTGATGCTCATCCTGTAGCTGGCTGCAGCTCACAGATGCAGGACTTATCTGGCCACCCTGCACAACACATTTGGGCTTGGTAGTTATTTGACGGTAAAGGGAATTTATCTTGATTATTCCATTCCTAACAGGGCCAAATTGGATTAGAATCCCTGGCTTCTAATCTTCAGCGTACCATTGAAATCTCAGTTTCCCTTTTTATAAAATGGCATTCATTTAAGTCTCTTCTAAATGTGATCATTGTGAAAGTATATCATGATTTTTGGGTCCGATTCATCCTTGGTCTTTAAAGTCCATATGTTGTATATCAGTAGTAGACATACGTTTACATTATAAAATTATTATAAAATACCATCTTTAGGAAAAAAAAAATAACAAGTCATTTTTAGGACATCTCAGATGTGCAGTTTAGATCTCTCTGTGTGTATGTTTGTCCACCAAAGCAATTTTTTTCCTGTATCATAATGAACTTTTCAGGGAACTCTCAGTATTTTGTTAATTAGAATTAGCACAGTTAGGCAAAGTTTAGTGAAACTCAGATACTTTAAGAAAATATTTGAAATGCATAAAGTCTCTGCCTGAGTGTGTAATTCTGGGGAAAACTGGGGTTTGGTGTTTGAAATTCCATGACTTAGTGGCCAATGACTTAGGAGCCCCTCTGCTGAGTTTCTTTTGTTGTTGTTTTTTTTTGAGACAGAGTCTCACTCTGTTGCCCAGGCTAAAGTGAGTGCTGTGGCGTCAGCCTAGCTCACAGCAACCTCAGACTCCTGGGCTCAAGCGATCCTCCTGCCTCAGCCTCCCTAGTAGCTGGGACTACAGGCATGCACCACCATGCCTGGCTAATTATTTCTATATATATTAGTTGTCCAATTAATTTCTTTCTATTTATAGTAGAGATGGGGTCTTGCTCTTGCTCAGGCTGGTTTCGAACTCCTGACCTCGAGCAATCCGCCCGCCTGGGCCTCCCAGAGTGCTAGGATTACAGGCGTGAACCACCGCACCCGGCCGGCCATTTCTACTAATGTTCTCTAGGCTTAATTTTTGCCTCTTATATACCTAGCTAAAAAAATGAATATTTTATAAACTGTGGAGAAAAGGGCCAGGGCCAGAAACTGTTAGAGTAGTTTATCTTTCTGAAACTGTGCTTGTTGGATGTTCGACAACCTTTGAGATACTGATGAAGACTATGAATTCATTCCCTAGAATAGTGCCACAAACCATACGTACCCCGAAATGATAGATTCTCAGCAGCTGGGCATGATGTGTGTCCATGAACACTAGACCAAGAAACTCGATTCTGAGGATCGTGGCCATTTTCCTAGAAGTGCTCTCGGGTATCTTTGATGCCAGTGATAATATCTTAACATTTGTAAGACGCTTTGAGGTCATGAGTACTTTCTAACTTGATCTTGACACAGAGCCCCACGGTAATATAATTCTCATTCTAACCAGAAACCAAAATTCAGAGAGGTTAAGAAAATGGGCTAAAGTCAAACCGTCAACAGGAGAATTTTCCCAGGCCTTGAAACAAAACCCCCTATGTCTGAATCCAGGGTCTCCCCTGATTCAGAGTACAGAGGTTTTGCTGTAGTGGGCTTAGTCTGTCTGAGGCTAAATATACTGGAGGAAACCTTGTAGGGTGTTGCATGTGCCTGGCCTCTAGGGTCACCAATTATCCTGATTCGCCCGGGGACTGTGTCCCGGGTTTAGCACTGAGAGTCCCATGCCCTGTGAAACCCCATCAGTCCAAGCAAACTGGCATGGCTGGCCACCCTGCTGGCACTGTCCCATTTCACTACTACAAAGTGATTGTGAACCCAGGAAGGAAGAGAACGAACATTTGTCTAGTCGAGTGCACCAGGCTCTGGACTAGACTCTCTTCATCTTGAGTGAAATTTCTCAGTTCGAACACTGGCTCTGCCACATAGTGACTGGGTGGCTTTGGGCAAGCTCCTTTAGCCTCTCTGTGCCTCAGTGTCTTAGTCCGTTCAGACTGCCATAACAGAGACCCAAAGATGGGTAACTTATAAACAACAGACATCTATTCCTCACAGTTCTGGAGGGCTGAGAACAGGGTCCCAGCATGGGTCAGCTTCTGCTGAGGGCTGTCTTCCGGGTTGCAGAATTATCACTGTGTCCTCACTTGGTAAAAGGAGATCGTGAAACCTTTCTGGGACCCCTGTTATGTAAGGTCACTAAATACCCCATATAAAGCGCTACAATGTATATATAAAAACTCACAATCACGTGATACACTCATAAACAAAAACCCTAAAAAAGACAAAATTAGACCAACAAACAAAAACATAATAAGGACATGAAACATAGTAGAGCACATGAAAATAATACAAGACACTAATCAACACAAGAGCTCTATGAAAAGGTCGAACACTATGGTGAGATATGAGTGGTACACGACGTACATAGAACATTCTACACCCAAGTCGGGGGACCACATGGAAGACGTGAGAATCATCTGAGACATCAAGCCCATACGATAGTAGCGAAGATGAAATGAAGCTCAATATCAGTGATATCAGGGAACAAGCGCAATAGAAAAACAGAGCCCACAATATGACAAATAACATAGCACTACAAGTCACCGGCGAAAACACACATGAAAACAAGTTCGAGTCACGAGACTCAGGGAGCGAGCAGCTAGAATGAAGCCAATAACCATACACAACATAAACACACAGCCACACGGCATACAACAGCAACAAACACAAATTGGCACGGATGTCATATGCAAAGCCCGATCACCACACGCGAGCAGCCGACTCTAACCCCCCACACTCCTATGGACACACCCGCACCCACCCAGTGAGAGCCTCCTAGTCTCACAGGCAGACAGACGAACCGCAAGATCGAACACGGAGAAACACCAGTCACGCAAGACATTCACGATAGGGATTCAGGTGCATGGCACTATGTGAGAGAGTGATCGATGCATGTGTATACCAAGAAAGCCAGACAAATGGTCACCTACTATGATACACCGTCACAAGATCAGCCCACGCACTTCAAAAAAAAAACAAACATCTAAACACACATACCAAAAGTGATACACCTACACATAAAAAAAAAGATATAAAGACCAAACTCTGCACTACATATAAAAAAAACAGCAGTCACAACACCTGCTACTGACCAATACACACACCTGCGATCTACCAGATTCCACAATACTATTTTACAAGAGGAGCCTACCAATACCCAAGAACTCACCCATCCCATCTACAGTTTCCTCACCCCATGCACAAAATGGGAACCAGCGATCGAAGCACCCAGGGTGGTTATGAAAATGAAATGAATTCCTAAAGCACTCAGAACAGTGCCAGCACGACATCTAAGATGGGGAGGGGCCTGGGTTGCATGCGTGTGTACTTTAATGTTTTAATACACTGAATCAAGCTGCAAGGTGAGTTGCAATCTTCCATCGTGGCATCAGGAAAACTGTCAGAGAGGCTAAATCAGGCGGACTTCGAGTGGGCAGCGTGTGAATGGTGTGGTCCTGGCACCCGTCACTGGTTCTAAGACCCGAATGTTCCTCTTTCTGTCCCCAGGCCTATGTGAACCTAACAAAAACTTCGTCAGTTCTTTTTGGTTTTCAGGAACGTCCATGACCGACTACTGGGTTTTGATCCTCTTCAACCTCCTCTTCACCTCGGCCCCTCCTGTCATTTACGGTGTTTTGGAGAAAGATGTGTCTGCAGAGACCCTCATGCAGCTGCCCGAGCTCTACAGGAGCGGGCAGAGATCAGAGGTAGGTGCTAAAAGCAAGAATTCTGGGATAGCTTCGTGTCCATTGTCAAAGCCAGCGTGTTTTCCAATCCTCTGACCCAAATATTTCAGTCCACTCAGAACTATTGGAAATGCCTGCTTGTCTTAAAACATCTCTACTCACATGGTGGATATTAAGTTACTTGCCTCTTGGATGAACACAGATAAATTTATGAAAGGCCTTAGGTACTTTTAAGAAAAAAATCCAGTATTTGGTTCTTACCAATCACTTGCCAATAACATCTAGTATATTCACTAAGCCCTATTGTCATCTGTTGAGCTGACTCTTTTTTTTTTTTTTGGAGACAGAGTCTCACTCTTGCTGTCCAGGCTAGAGTGCCGTGGCGTCAGCCTAGCTCACAGCAACCTCCAACTCCTGGGCTCAAGCGATCCTCCTGCCTCAGCCTCCCGAGTAGCTGGGACTACAGGCATGCACCACCATGCCCTGCTAATTTTTTCTATGTATTTTTAGTTGGCCAATTAATTTCTTTCTATTTATAGTAGAGACGGGGGTCTCGCTCTTGCTCAGGCTGGTTTCGAACTCCTGACCTTGAGAGATCCTCCCACCTCGGCCTCCCGGAGTGCTAGGATTACAGGCATGAGCCACCGCGCCAAGCCTGTACTGACTCTTAAACATCCCCTGTCTCATTTATCTTCATGAAAACATTTTGAGACAGAGTCCGGTTCTAAGATGAAAAATCTGAACCTCAAAGACGTTAAGCAATTTTTCCAAACATCCGACAGCTAACCAATGGTTGGTTCAGCATGTGTTAGAAAGAATGGGTCATGTTCAGCCTAAGTTTAAATTCTGGTTCTGTGGCATGTGGCCTTGGTAATTTCTTTAACTCGCCTGTGCTTTGTTTTCTTTACTTTATGGAAATTATGGAAATCTTTACTTTATGGATATGAGAATTAAGGGAAATAGTATGTGTAAAATTTCCAGCCATATTAAGCTCTCAGTATTTTTAACATCTGGAATTAATCTGAAATTTGAGGAAATGCAGGATTTAAAATCATCAATATAACTTTATTCTGTCTTGAACTGCCTTTCTGGAATGCAGAGTAATTTAGGGTCATTAGGCTTCCTGGCACAGCCCACAGAGGAGTCCCACATTTAGGTTTCAGGGGAGGAGAAATCCTCATTATAATCCTTTAACAGCATCCAATCCATTCAGACCAAAGAACTGCATGGGGTTTTCCTAAAGCAGTCCAGTCTGGTTAAAGTTCAAGGCCAGAATGCAGGGATATGTGGTTGATATCCATGAAGGTTGCCCTACACCCCAAGCCCAAGTTAAATCCCAAATCCATTGGGGTAAGGAGAGGTTGAGGTAGTCGTTCAATCAAAGTTTTTATAGCTAGTGCTTTATTTTTTATTATTTATTTATTATTTATTTGAGACAGAGTTCACTCTTGTTGCCATGCGGCTAGAGTGAGTGCCGTGGCGTCAGCCCAGCTCCACAGCAGCCTCAAACTCCTGGGCTCAGGGCGATCCCTCTGCCTCAGCCTCCGAGTCCTGGGACTACAGGCATGCGCCACCATGCCCGGCTCATTTTTTTCTATATATATATATATTAGTTGGCCAATTAATTTCTATTTATATTAGAGACGGGGGTCTCGCTCTTGCTCAGGCTGGTTTTGAACTCTGACCTCGCGAGCGACGCCTCCCGCCGGCCCCGACCTCACCGCCTCGCCCCTCGCCAGCAGCTCGCTTAAGGGAATTAGCGTCGAGCACCGGCCGGCCAAGTATAGCCTGGTGGTTTAACAGACTTTGTACAGACTGAAGATTGAATTGGTCCTTATCCTTGGGAGAATTGAGGTCACGGTTCCTGCTGTTGAATTCAGTCTTTTATCAGTCTTTCCGTACACATTGTTCTGTTGAGCCGGCCCATTCTATAAAAGAGGATCATAGCAGGCGGAGTCCCAGCATGTGGCTATTGACAAAAGATAATTGATTTCATTGACTTTACCGTCCAGAATTTATCCTGTCTTTGAACTTGGCCTCCAAACAAATGCTGTTTTATGCTTGGGTCATTTTCTGTGTTCAGTGTTGTGAAATACATTCTCCGGGGTTATAGAATCTCTCTGCTCTCAAGGAGTTGGAAATCTGCAGCCAGAAGCTTCCCCTCCAAGAAGCCTTTTGTTTATCTCTCACCCACCCACGGTCTTCTTTTTCTCGCTTTGGCTTCATAATCCAGATTTCCCCGTTCAGTTTCCAGGAAATCCCTGAGTTAATTCCCCACCACTGATGTATCTTATCCTTGATCCTTCTCTGTTTACTTCCCTAAGTCCTATTCCGCATGCAACTGGGGGAAATTATACTTTTTATCTTTCCACTCTAGATTTTTTTTTTGTTTTTTTTTTTTTTAGCAATATCCATTAATTCATAGAGTGTTGATAGTGAATCGGGATAGCAGTAGAGGGAGTAATGTGGATAAAAAGAAGTGGATGGATTTGGAGAAGTGTTGAAACAGTCCTTTCCGATCAATAGGAAATGAAAAGTTAGCTCTGCTGGCCCTGTTTCAGGTAGATTTAAAATTGGTCCAGTGATGAGCACAAACCTGAATTGAATACAGAGTTCCTACAAGGATTTCTTTCACCACATTCACCTGTGAACTCATTGCATTCAACTACTCTCTTTTTTTTTTTTTAAATCTCTGTTGACAAGTCCCACCTGTTTTATGAGTGAGAGAATGCAGGAATAAAAGGTTTTCTCTTGGAGGACCAAAAAACAAATACTGGCTTGTGTTGTTTCTGGATTTAGCTTGGACCCTTGTTAATCTTAATTTCGCCCCAACCTCTGTTTTCATTTGCAGGCGTACCTACCTGTCACTTTCTGGATCACCTTGTTGGATGCATTTTATCAAAGCCTGGTCTGCTTCTTCGTGCCTTACTTTGTGAGTCTTTGTTCAGTCAGTGCATTTGTTATTAATGAATCAACAATAATGCGCCTTTGTACTTTGCCACCAGTATCAGCAAATAAAATCAGGTCGGTTATTAGCTGCCTAAATTATAATCTCCCATCAAAATATGTTTAACGTGGATTAAATTTGGGAAGAAGTACCTTGTTCAAGTCCTCTTGAGTCTCTTGTTAAGCTTGTACTTCTTAATCATTTTTGTCAGTGACTTGAATAAAATTGAACATCTGCCCATATAATTAGATTAGTCAAAAATCAGGGAGGCAAAGTCGGAATATAAAACCTTTTATTATTAAGTGCTGGGCTAATTCTAATAGGGTGACATTCAAGGTATTAAATTTAAGATCCTGTGAGTAGCGTCTCCAAAACTAAGAGACCTGTTTTACAGGTAAAGAATGAAGAAATTCAACTAAGCAAAGAATGTGTAAAGGTTAATTTTTTTAAAAAATTCAGGCTAACACCAAGCACAAAACAGCGTAATACAGCTGCTTGTGCACATAAAACGCTTGTTTTGTCATGGGTGGTATTAACAAGAGTTTACGGTATCACGAAAGAAAAAACTGATAGTCTCTACCTTAACAGTCTTCATTCTTTATTCAGATATTATTCAAAATATTTAAATGAGCGTTTGAATTAGCCTCACTGGAGCATTCTGGCTGTACTGCACTTCAAGAGGAATATACAGGAAAGGCAATCTGAAGTGTGTTCAGAAACAGGATGAAAACGACTGTGAAAGATAAACTGTGTCATTCAAGGACTAGTTTAAGAACTTGAAGACCTGCAGAGAAGAGGAGGGCATATTTGCCTAGGAGAGATATAAACTTAGGGTAGTCATAATAACTGCTACCAAGTTTTGAGGCTCTGTTCAGTGGGACAAATTCCTCTCTACCTTAAAGAGCTACAGGTGTGAGTGTGAGGTTTCAGGAAGATCAAACTGTGGTTGGAAATAAAGAAGAATTCCAATGAAGAGTCTGAGGATGAGATGGTCTCTCTGGGAGAGGGTTTAGCATCTCTCTTCTGGAAATTAGTTAAGAGTTTATGCTGAAGGACCAGCTCATAGGGACGTTGTACAAGAGACCTACACCGGGCGTGCACAAGTCTCCAAGATCACCCATTGTGGTCCTCTCTCTGCAGACCTACCAGGGCTCAGACATTGACATCTTTACGTTTGGAAACCCCCTGAACACTTGTACCCCAGCCTCAGGAATGGGGGTGCCCAGGAAGACCCTTATGGACAAGGAAGGGACCTACAGAGGCTGGGAGCTCTAGCCACGTGTCCTCTGGCAGGAAGAATGATTCCCTAACGATGGATCCTTTAATCAGCACTCTCTGTTTTTCTTGGAATCTGCTTTCAATCCCTTTATTCTTAGTGAGGACACTCAGCCTTGTACACAGTCTTGGCAAAAATATTCCTTCCCTAGCCAAAGCCCATGCATGGAAGGGGAATAGGATTCTGTCACCAGGGACTAGACTTGGAGTAGGACCATGCAGAAGCAGAAAGAAAATGATCGGGGCCGACAGGGCGAGGTGGCTCACGCCTGTAATCCTAGCACTCTGGGAGGCCAAGGTGGGAGGATCGCTCAAGGTCAGGAGTTCGAGACCAGCCTGAGCAAGAGCGAGATCCCCGTCTCTACTAAAAATAGAAAGAAATTAATTGGCCAACTAAAAATACATAGAAAAAAATCAGCCGGCATAGGTGCTCCGCACCACGCCCAGCTAATTTTTCTATATACTTTTTAGTTAAGCAATTAATTTCTTTCTATTTTTAGTAGAGACGGGATCTTCGCTCTTGCTCAGGCTGTCTCGAACTCCTGACTTGAGCCGATCCTCCCACCTTGGCTCCCAGATGCTAGGATTACAGGCGTGAGCCACCTCGCCCTGCCGGCCCCGATCATTTTCTTTCTGCTTCTGCATGGTCCTACTCCAAGTCTAGTCCCTGGTGACAGAATCCTATTCCCCTGCCATGCATGGGCTTTGGCTAGGGAAGGAATATTTTTGCCAAGACTGTGTACAAGGCTGAGTGTCCTCACTAAGAATAAAGGATTGAAAGCAGATTCCAAGAAAACAAGAGAGTACTGATTAAAGGATCCATCGTTAGGGAATCATTCTTCCTGCCAAAGGACACGTGGCTAGAGCTTCCAGCCTCTGTAGGCCTTCCTTGTCCATAAGGGTCTTCCTGGGCACCCCCATTCCTGAGGCTTGGGCACACCTGTGACCCATTCGGTGCACCCATTGGTCGGGGCTTTATCATGGTTC